CCATCCCATCCCATCCCATCCCATCCCATCCCATCCCATCCCATCCCCATCTAATCTTCATCCCCATCCTATTCCCATCCCATCCCATGCCCATTCCATCCCCATCCCCATTTAATCTCCATCCTGTCCCATCCCATCCCCACCTAATCTCCATCTCATCCCCATCCCATGCCCATTCCATTCCCATCCCATTCCATTCCTTTCTATCCCAAACCCATTTCATCCCATCCCAACCCCATCCCCATGCTGCCCACTCCCTGCCCAAGGTCACAGCAGCTGGGCCATAGCCAGGATATTCCCACATGCACCCACACCTGGTGCCAAAGCAAACAGCCTGTGCTTGTCCCCAGCAGTGCAAAGTGACCCAGTCCTGTGTCACCACACCAGGCACCACTCTTCTGTTTTAAATATTTTATTTCTGTAACAACAATCAGACTTAAAAATCTTCCATAAATAAGGGTCCCCACCCCACAGCGCAATGGGTACAAAATGTTGTACAAAACGGACACGAGGCCGGTCAAGGGGGGGCACAGAACTCGGCATCAGCACTATGAACACAATGTGGCAATGAGAACCGCAGCAAGGAAGGGGACCCTGTGTCCCCAGCACCGCAGTGGAAACCCCAGGGCAAGGTGACAGCGGGATGTCACTGATTCCCAATGGGGCTTAGGGATGGTCCCACCAGCGTCCCCTCCACGGAGGAACAGGGACAAAGAGGACGGTCCCGGTGGGGGTCAGGAGCTGCCACGGATTCTCTCCATGTAGCAGCGCAGCTCCTCAGGGTCACGCAGCCCCATGTCCTCGCACACCCAGCGGATGTCATCCTCACCAGCCACCAGGATGGACTGCACATTGGGGGTGGGCTGGGGGGGATCCTCGGGGGCACGCTGGGGTGCAAAGGTGACGAACTCCACGCGTTTCCGCCGGCTGCCCCCTGGCACAGGCCCTTCTTTGTGGGGCTCCACTGAGGTGCCACTGGGGGACCCCGTGTCGGGTGCCAGAGGGTCTGCACAGCAGCAGCGCTCAGGCTGGGGGCCCGGCAGGCTGTCAGGCTCAGGCTGCCGGCGGTCCAGCTGCCGGCTCAGCTCCTCCTGGTCAGTGCCCAGCCAGACCCAGTTGTGGGGCTGGGAAGCCGCAGCAGCGGTGCTGGCGTCGGGTGGCTCCTTCTGCTGGTAGCGCAGCACAAAGAAGACGCAGTTAACGAGGAAGATGAAGATGGCCAGGCAGAAGACACCCAGCAGCACGTACATGCCGATCTCCAGGTCGCTCACACGTGCAGGGGCCTTCACCATTTCTTCCTTCTCCTCCTCCTGCATGCCACGGCCATAGCCTTCCTCTCTTTCCTCCTCCTCCTCCTCGGAGGAAGACCCCATGCCCTGCAGCTTTGTGTTGACCAGCCCCACATCACCATGCTCCCCCTGGCCCGCTGTCACCGCCTCACCCGACATGGCCCCCTCTGCCCTTGGGAATGGCATGGGAGACCGGGGGCTGCTCGGGGGGGTCCTGCGCTCCCCAGCCACCTCTAACAAGGCAGTGCCGGCAGCCAACACAGCGGCACGGTGACGACCACGGCGGCACACATCCAGGGGGTGCAGACTGAGCTGCAGCAGGGCCCCTCGGCCCGGCCCCTCCGCCACCACTCGCGGATGCCAGGATGAGGTCCCCACCACAGTGACCACTGTGGGATCCAGTGAGGTGACAGCCAGCACGGCGTCCTGCCCACCGTACAGCTCCATCGGTGCCAGCGTGCCATCAGAGAAGGACAGCCAGACAGATAGCGTCGCCTCCTGCCAGGACACCGAGTGGCACCAGGGTGGCACCGGGGCACAGAGCTCCCCCTGGGCCACCCACAGATCCTCACCTGCTTGGAGCCTCGCAGTGTGGCCGTGGCCTGGCACACGGCAGTGAGCAAGCCAGGGTGGCTAGGCTCCAGGTGCAGCGCCAGCTCCAGCCCTGCCACCACTGCAGCACGCAGTTCTGTCACTGCCACCTTCTCCTCTGACACCACCAGCATCTGCTCGCCCAGGATGGCGTCCGACAGCGGGGAGCGCACCTGCAGGCAGCTGGTCAGCATCCCCTCCAGTACCGCATCTCCCTGCGTTGCCCCAAACCTACCTCCACTGAGGTGACGCCGGGTTCCCGGCCCACCAGCACGGTGCCGCCTTCCAGCGATGCCACACGGGGGTCCTGCACGCGTGCCCAGCTGGCCACCAGGTGTGTGACATCCAGCAGCCACTCAGGGCCTGGCAAGTAGGACAGGTGGCGGCCACCATCCTGTGCATGTGCCACAAAGTATGCCAGGAACCGCACTGCCGTGCGCTGATACTGCGGCCGGCAGCTCCGCGTCCGCCGCTCAGCATCCTCCCCAGGGTCCTCCACATCACTGCTAGAGCTGTGGGCACGAGGACACGTGTGTCACCCACAGGCAGAGGGGCGAGTGCCATGAGTTCCAGGGGGGGTTGGTGGGGCACTGGGTCACGGGATGGGGGGCGGGGGCACACCGTGAGCGCCATTTGGACTCAGAAAGACGTGCGGCACGTGCACCATAAGTCTCAGAGGGACAGGGACACACAGCACAAGTGCCAGCTCCCATCCACCCTACGCCAAAGCAGCAGTGGCACACAGTGCTCCTCTCACCTGTCAGTGTTCCCGGGCAGGCGCCAGCCACGCACCTGCTCCAGGGCAGTGTCTCCCAGCTGGACACGCAATGGCAGCAGAGGTGCCCAGACGGTGAAGAGCAGCGAGGCATGCAGGCGGTGTGCCCAAAAGTCCACCCGCACCCCACGGGCACCACGGCTCTCCTTGCCCCCCACGAACACCGCGTCACAGCCCTCCGACACCTGTTGGGGCACACGGAGGGGCAGAGGGTGCCCAGGGAGTGCTGCTGGGGGGGCTGGGACCATGCTCACCTGCAGCACCTGTGTATCTGCTGACTCACAGCCTGGCGGCTCACTGAGCTCAGACACGGTACCACCCACCTCCACCATCACCAATGTCACCGGCACGGTACGGGGGACACCGGTCAGCGGGGACGTATTGAGAAGCTCCAGCTCCTGTGGACACAGTGGGGCTGAGCACCGTGGGAAGGTGGGGTGGGATGCGGGATGGGGGCACCCACCTGCACCAGGGGGACGAGGACGCGCATGTCACGCTCCGACACCTGCACCTCCCACACCAGCTTGTCCTTCTGCGCCTCAGGGTCCTGGCCTGGGTATTCCACCTGCCAGGTGAGGGGTCGTGCCAGTGCCTGAGCCCCTGTGCCATTCTCCACCGCCAGCTCCAGATGGAGGAGCTCAGCCGCCTCCAGTGCCCTGTGGGAACAGAGCTCCGGATGGCACCCACTGGGACGGGGACCCAACAGAATGGGGATGTTCACCAACAGAGACCCACTGCTTCAGGGCCGCCCCACATCCCAAACTAGGACCTACTGGGATGGGACCATCCTGCATCCCCCTTTGGGATCTATTGCTGAAATGGGGCTCTCCCACACCACCAGCCATCCCATTAGAATTTGCTGGGACAGGGACAGTGCAACACGCACAGGTTCCCTTGCCCAAGCGGGCCATACTGGGCCCTAATACCAATTGGGCCACGGTGGCATGGATGCAGTGCCACACACAGATCACTGTATCCATACTGGGATGGATGCAGAGCCACGCACAGATCTCTGTACCCATACTGGGATGGATGCAGTGTCACGCACAGGTCCTTGTGACCAACTGGACCACGGTGGGATGGGAGCGGTGCCATGCACAGGTCCCATGCTCAACTGGGGCCGTACTGAAATGGATGCAGTGCCACGCACAGGTCCCCGTGCCCAAGTGGACCCCACCAGGTGCCACACTGAAGATCTCTCCCGTGTCCCTGCCCATACCTGGTGCTCCTATGGATGTCCCTGCTGCGCCGACACGTCACCACAGCCGACCAGTGCTTGGGGCCACGGCTGCGTTCCAAGTGGACAGTCCACGCAGGGTCCGCAGACCTGGCGGCCACCACCTGCAGCCCCTTCTTAGCCTTGACTCTACGTAAGGAGGAAGGGCCGTCACACCGTGCCCCCGTCACAACCCCCCTCCTCACCACATGCTCTCACCGCAGGGTCAGCAACATGGCGGTGAAGTTGTGCCGCAGCGCCAGGCTGGCGGTGAAGCGCTGCCCAGGCCGCAAGGCTCTGTCGGGGACGCGCAGCAGCACCCTCTCATCCAACGGCACCTCTTGCCGCCGTGCCACTGCCGGCACTGTCTGCAGCTCCAGCATCCCCACGTACCGCAGGGGCTCCACTGTGCCACTGGGATGGCTGCAGGTTCCCGGCCCAGCCACGCCATACCACAGTTCGACTGACTCCGGGGACGACACCGGGGAGAACCAGCGTGCTGGGATCTCCAGTTCCACCAAGCAGATGCCCAGTGGGGCCTGGGGGGGGACAGCAGCCTTAGGGCTGGGGGCAGAGCGGGGCCAGCAGCGCTACGGCGACAGCACCTTGGGGCTGCGGGGCTGTGGGCTGTGACCCACCTGCACACGGCAGGAGCCTTGCAGCGTCCGGCTGCGCTGCTGGACCTGCAGGACAATGCAGGGCAGCGAATGCTCCCCAGGGGGGTCCCGCCGTCCACGCCAGTCAGGGCCGTGCAGGTGGAAGAGGACGCGGGCGGTGGGTTCATCTGGACTGACAGTGCTGTGCAGGGGCACGGCACGGACGGCCCAGGTGTGACTCTTGGTGGGCACCTCCTGGAAGAGATGGGGATGGCGGAGTGGTGGCCCTGTGGAGGTCAGCACGGCTTTGCGGCGGTTGGCATTACCTGGTGGGTGCTGAAGGGCAGGTAGGAGGCTCGCAGAAGAGGCGGGGGGCCAGCGGTGGGGTGGCGGGGCAGCAGCAGGAAGGTGTCGGAACGGGTGTGCAGAGAGGTGTTGGCAGGCAGGGCTCCATCCGCACGCTGCAGGCGGTAGTGCTCGGGCACTGCCTGCAGCTCCATCTCCACAGGCAGGAACACGGGCTCCGGGGGGGACCACTCGCTGCTGGCTGCGGAGATGGAGACCACCGTCACCGAGGCGAGGATGGGCACTGACACAAGGGAATGGCTTTCCCGTGGGCCGTGGGCGCTCTGCTCCTGGGGAGTCCAACCCCCAAGCTGCCCAGGAAGGAGTCTGCTGGGGGGAGCAGTGCTGAGTGAGTGCTGGGGGTGGGAGCCAGGCACTGTGCACCTGGGGATACAGGGCTTGTGTGGGACAGATCCCCACCAGATCCACGCAGCACACGGGGCAGATTCCAAATGGATCGTGGGGACTGGATGATTCCTAAGGTCCCTTCCAACCCAAGCATTCCATGGTTCCGTGATCTTCAAGGACCCTTTCCAACCCAACCATTCCGTGGGTCTGTGATCTTCAAGGACCATTTCCAACCCAACCACCCCGCGGTTCCGCGGCCACCCAGGGCAGACCCCGGTAAAGCCCGAGGAGCACATGGGCAGATCCCAGCTCATCCCACGTCCACCTCCCGGCTCTCCCCGGGTAGCCGTGCGGAGCAGTTTCCGGCCCGGGGGGAATTCGGTGCCCGCGGTGCTCACCTGAAGCCACGAGCAGGGCGGCGGCCAGCAGCAACAGGTACGGCCCCTCGGCCAGGGCCATGGCCGGACCGGTTCCGGAGCCGGGGCCGTGCGGGCTCCGCGGAGCGTCCGTGCGAGCGGAGCCTCCGCCGCCGTCCCTCCGCCTCCGCGCGCAGACAATGGGGCCGGGGCGGGACCGGCACCGGCGCCGCCTCACCCCGGCGGGTCCTAAACACCCCGCGCCGGGCACTGCGGGACCCCGAGGGAACGGACGCGGAGCGACAGTCTCGTCCCGAGCCGGGCACCGGGAGAGACTGGGAGACACTGGGGAGATGGGGTACACCGGGGTGTGCTGGGCGGACTGGGAAGGACGAGGGATATTGCGGGTGCTGGGGGAAATGGGAAGGACTGGGCGCACTGGGAGACCTGGGGAGATAAGGGGCATGGGGGGCACTGGGAGAGCTGGAAGGTTTGGGAGGCATGAGGACTGGACTCCATGTGAGGACTGGAGACACTAGAGAGAGCTGAAGGGATTGGGGACACTGGGGCACTGAGGGACTGGGAGGGACGAGGGGTAATAAGGGCACGGGGAAGGGTGGGGGACACTGGCGGAGCTGGAGGGATTGGGAAGGATGGGAGACACCGGGGGAACGGGGAAGGGTGTGGGTGTTGGTAGGAATGCAGCATGCTGGGGAGAACACAGGAATTGCTGGTGGGACTGGGAGGGATGAGGGACACTTGTGGGACTGGGGATTCTGAGCAGGACTGGGAGGGATGGGAGGAATGGGGGGCACAGGGAGGGGTGGGGTTGGGTGAAGGACTTGGGGCACTGGGGCACTGGGATCACTGGACAGACTTGGAGGGTAACTGAAGGGACTGGGGGCACTAGAGGTACAGGGAAGGGAGTGGGACATTGTGGATGCTAAGACAAAAGTGGGGAGATTGAAGGGACTGGGAGGGCTGGGGGCCACAGCAACAGTGGGGACACTGGAAGGGACTGGAAGTGATGGGGACACAGTGTGGGAGCAAAGGGCGCTGGGGGCACTGGGGGAATACTGAAGGACAGGGGTGCCACAAAGCCAGAGGGCACCAGGGACAGAGCCAGGCATCGGCACTGATAACCTCAGCCTCAGCAAACAGGCGACGGAGACGGCACTCACAGGGACAGCATGTCCTGCCCCCACCCCGAGTGTCCTCTGTGCCCCCCCAGAACTGAGCACCATCTCTGCAGGCACAGTGTGGACAGCAAACTTTATTTGGTGGCCAAATAAACACAGCAGCAAACCAATGTGGCCAATTCCACAACAGCAATCCAAGCACGTAGCCCTCATCCTATGGCTGGGGGGGTTACCCAGTGTGGGACCCCCCAGGCACTTTGGTGTGAGTGGGTTCAGGGCTTGGGTGTGGTGTTAGTGAAGGCACTGATGCAGGGCACTGGGGGGGCCCATACACACACACACACACACACACACACACAGGGCCCCCCCACACCCCTCACTCCTCCGCACGGCCCCGTGCTGGCCCATAGCGCTGCTGCCTCCTCCACAGCTCCTCCACCTTCCACTCCAGGCTGCGCACAGCAGCCTCCAGGTGTGCAGCAGGGCTGGGCGGGGGGGCCCTGCCACCTCCCAGCAGCACGTAGAGCCCCCAGAGCCCCAGCAGCATGGCCGCCCGAACCACGAGGCCGCTGCCCTCTGCCGCCGCCACATGCAGGAAGGCTCCCAGGAAGACACAGAGCCGCAGCCAGTGCAGCACGGGCCGCAGCAGTGCCACGACCCGGCCCAGCAGCCATGGCAGGAGGTGGACCCACATCACAGCTAACAGCCCCCACAGCAAGACCCGCTGCACCGCGCCGGGGCTCAGCGCCACGCTGCCCGCCAGCCAGGCCCCTGTGCTTCAAAACACGGGAGAATATTTGAGACCAAGCAGCTGGGGCTGCACCCGGGCGAGCTCACATTGCACCGTGCTCACCGTGCAAGCCGCAGGCGTCCAGCAGATCCCCCAGTGCTCTGCTCAGCACGGCCAGGCCCGATGAGATGGCCGAGGCGGTGAGCCAGAGTGCAGCCAGCAGGCTCTGCAAAGAGAAAGCGCCTCGTGGGGCCATGCCATGCTCACCACCACACCTCCCCCCCACCTCCGACTCCCTCTGCTCACCTCGGCCAGCAGGCGCAGCGGCTCGGCTTCCAGGCAGCCCTCCAGGCTGGCCCAGGCGGTGTGGCCCAGCTGCCACAGGGTCTCATTCAAGGCAGTCATGGCACCGCCGAAAGCCCCCATCCTTGGCACTGCCAACGGGGTCTGTGGGCAACGGGGGGGTGTGAGCTGCCCCCCCAGTCAGCCCCCCACAACCTGGTGCCCTCTCCAAGCCCCCCAACCGTATCCCCAGGGTGCCCTCTCAATGTGCTCACCCAGCATGCCACCCCATACTCCTCCATGACCCTCCTACGTCTTCCCCTATATCCCCCAATACAGACTCCGCAAATATGAACTCCCTGTATCCTTTGACGTGCACCCCATACCACCCCATCTATCTGCCTGCCCATTCACCTCCACAACGCAGTACTCCCTGCAGTATACCCCAATATCCCATAACCCCATCTGCCTCCCTCGTAGGGCTCACCCATATAACACCCCTGAATAGCCCCCCCAACACCCCAGTGTACCCCCATTCCCCCACTCCCCTCTACACGGCTCCCTCTCAACCTCCCTCAATATGTTCCCCACCGATACACACAAACGTACCCCCATTACTCCCCAGTGTGCCCACCCATGCCGCCTCTCAATATAACCCCCATCTCCCTACATGCCCTCCCATGCTCATGCCCCCCATACGTCCCCTATGTAACCCATAGCACAGCCCCCCAATATTCCCCCATATGACCTCCCCCTCTGTACTCTTCAGTATCCCCCATATAGCCCCCCAACCCCCAATGTCCCCCCCATTGCCCCCCATTACAGCCCTCCCTCTAGTCCCTCAATATAGCCCCCCCTCTCGTATGCCCTCTATATGTTTCCTCAAAGCATTCCCCCCCAACCTGCCCCTCAATATTACCCTAGGTGCCCCAGTCTGTGCACTCAATACGCCCCCATTTACCTCCCAGCACCCCCTGCCCACTCCAGGCCCTCTGCTCTCCTCCACCCCCCC